CTGGCGGTTCCCAGGACACCTGTGGCCGCACTCTGCAGCCCCTTCCTAAAGCCTCCGCTCTGAACCATCTGAGTTTGCTCTGTTTCCTGCTGTGACCTTGACTGACCCCCAGCTCACCCCCTTCTGCCTGCAAACATGCACCCTCCCCCCGCCCCGTCCCTCTTGTGTCCCCGGCGACCTCGCTCTGATCGCTGACTTTGCAGCTCACCGATGCCCTCCCAGCCACCAAAGACCAATGGCCCCTCGGTTCTTGTCACCCTCTCCTCCGCCACCCGCCCTGACCCCTCCCGCCAGCCCTCCCCCTCTGTCTGGGGAGGAGTCCCGCCTGCTGACCTGGCCGCTCCCGGGTTCCCACTGCCCGGCGGCAGCCGCGAGTGACGTGACCGCTGGGCCCGGGCCTCACCGCCACCTGCTGGCGACTCCGACTGCTCAGCACCGGCCTGGCTCCCGGGGCCTCCAGTCCCCACGCCCCGCGCCCCCAGAGCCACACTCATCTATTCACTCAACAGACTTCCTGTGCATATGCAGCTGAAACCCAGCCCCTTTGCCAGCCTCCCGTTCCTGCCCCTGAAGTACTGCCCCCTTTCTCTCTGTCATCCTCTCGCCTGCCTGCCCGTCCACAGGCAGTGGGTCCACAGGTCTTCCTGAGTCTCCCACTGAGGGCCTTTGGTCTCTCCTCCTCACCGCTGCCCGGTCCCCATGTTACCCACCCCTCATCTCCACAGTCACAGCCTCCTCAGAGTCCTGGTCTCCAGGCCCACCCAGCGCACCGACACCTCATTCACCTTCCGAATGCCAGCTCGGTGCCTGCTCTCCCGCCCACACCTCCCTGCCCTTTGGTTACCTGAGTTCATGTTTCTCTGCAAGCTGACCTTTGCTGGGGTCCCCAGCCTTCACCGTCCCCCTCGCCAGGGCCCAGGGCTCCATCCTTCCCCACCTACCATTCCACAATAGGCAGTGGCCCTGCCCCAGATCCCCCTGCACACCAACCAGATGCTCTGGGCAGCTTGGGCCACCTGGAGCCCGCCCACCGCCTCTCGGTCTCCACGGGCGCTCCCTGATTGCCCGGGGTCAAACGCCCCACTCAGTGCAGTCCATGAGGATGGCCCACGCCACACTGTGGGTCCGTCCATAAGCCTCACAGCGTCTCAGCTGGAAACCTGATGGTGATGAGGCCCAAGCAGCTCCTAACACATGGGGAGCTGACAGCAGTGTTCCCACAAGTGCTCAATCAATAGCTGGCTACCTGGCCTTCCCTCCAGGGTCAGTCTTTTCTTTCCAGTTCTTTCTGTTCGTTTCCATTTCCGAGCAGTGTTTCAGGACAGTGAACTTGAGTGGGAATGTGCGGGTAGGTAAGAAGTAGGGCAGGGAGGACGTGGGAAGCCAGGCATCAAAGAAGAGGCGGCATCACCTCAATGTTGAGGGCTTAAGCTCTGGTCCCTGGGTTTAAATCCTGACTCCACTGATTGCTAGCTGTGTGACCTAGGGGAAGTCACTTGACCTCTCTGTGCCTTCATTGCCCCATCTATGAAACAGAGCTAATAGAAGCATCTGAGTCATATTGCTTTGGTGAAGAATAAATGAGTTGACGCATGTAAAAGACACATTAGGCACATGGCATTATTATTACTATTACTACTGCTGCTGCTATTGTTGTCTGATCTGGCATCCCTGAGGAGATGGCTGGTGTCAGGATGGTCCCACTCTCCTCCCAATTCATTCTTTCCTCCTCTGCTCACAGGGTAACACTCCTGTCCAGGACACGAGGATGTAAAGAGGAGGCCCCTGTGCTGGGCGGCGAAGGGGCTAGAGACGGCTCCTCAGAAGTAGCAGCCGCAATGGTAGCAGAAATGAGACGTCAGCAGCGGACTGCGGGCAGGAGTCCACCCGCAGACACAGGTCATGCTTCCTGGCCTCCACCCGGCCGGCAGAGACGGGCTGAGGGCACAGATGTTATCAGCTTGCGTTTGTGTTATCTGATGGACTTGGTTTAGAAAACAAAAACAAAACACTTATTTAAAACAACTTGCAAGAGTGACCGCTCCCTGGGGATACTGGTCAACCCCTGGGTCCAGACACTGTCCACACGCACCCACCCCTGCGCTGACCTCGGGACGGGCTCTGACTGAGCTGATCGGATTGTGTGTAAAGTGCTAGCCTTTTACTGCCTGAAAGTTTTTACCTGCTCTAATGTAAGCAAAACCCAATCTCAGGTGGCCAGAAATGAAAAAGAAAATAGTATTGCTGAAAATGTGAATCCTGCGACAAAAAGACCTTAAATTGTGTCAAGACCCCGAGACAGCCTTCCAGCAGGGCCCAGATGTGAACTAGCCAGTCAACTCTTAAAACACTGGACCAGGGTCCTAGCTGGTTTGGCTCAGTAGATAGAGGTCCCGGTTTCGATTCCAGCCAAAGGCAAATGTCCGGGTTCTCGGCCCTCAGTGGGGGGCATGCAAGAGGCAGCCAATCAACGACTCTCATCATTGATGTTTCTATCTCTCTCTCTCTCCCTCTCCCTTCCTCTCTGAAATCAATAAAATATATATATATATATATATATATATATATATATACACAAAAACAAAACACTGAACTAGGAGAGATAATCATAGAAACAAAAAATAATGCATCTGTGCCGGCAGCAGGAGCTTTTGTGGCCCCTTGGTTTCCTAGGTGCCAGGCTCGGTCACCCCTTCTGTCGGGAGGAGGAGGCGGCAGGGAGCAGATCCCGTGGACAGGCCTCCGTGGACAGGCTGATCCAGTAGGTCTCTGGGCTCTGCTGTAGCTCCCCATCCTGAAAGCAGACCAGTGCGGACGACGCTTGCCCGCTGATTCATCCAGGGAGATGCTTTGAGCGCTGGGATGTGCAAACTACATAATAAAAACGCCTTCCCCAGCTTCCCTGGGAAGCCGTCCTCCAGGGAAGCCCAGCTCTCCTGCCGCCTCCTGAGGGCTGGCAGGTCTTCAGTCGATTCTTACATAGCGCTTGCTGTCTGCTCTGTGGAGGGGACCGGAGGCTTTGCAAGGACGGGGCCTGACTCCCCGCTCCTTGTCTCATAGCCTCTCCCCCATAATGCACTCCTGCTGAAAGGTGTTAATCCAAATAAACGTTTCATCGTTAGGCTTGGGCCTTATGAGTTCAGTGACTCAGCAGCAGAATCTGCTATTTCTCTGGAGGTCTGTGACACCACACACTCTCCTCCAACTTCAAAAATCATCTCCCAGGTGAGGAGGCCTTACCTCACCGCTGGTACCTCAACTTCCATTCACAGTTCTCCTAACTCCAGGATAGTGTTAATATTTGGGATATTGTTTTTCAAAACTTTTAAAATATAATGCATTTTCTAAAACATGTAACCTAGTGAGGACTGGTGCTGTAATAAGATTTGTATTTTAGCAGAGTTCTAGAGCCATGGAGTGTCTATGAAATATCTTTGTCTCTCTATCTGTCATCCATCATCTACCTATCCAGCCATTGACAGAGATGTATCCTCCCTAAACAATACATGGTTTTATTTATATTTGTCTTTGGGTCATTTATACACTCACACACAGTACCAGGTAAGAATTCTGTGAATGGCCCTAGCCAGTTTGGCTCAGTGAATAGAGCTTCCGCCTGTGGACTGAAGGGTCCCAGGTTTGATTCTGGTCAAGGATACATGCCGAGGTTGCAGGCTTGATCCCCACCCAGTAGGGGCATACAGGGGGCAGCCAATCAATGATTCTCTCTCATCATTGATGTTTCTATCTCTCTTTCCCTCTCCCTTCCTCTCTGAAATCAATAAAAATATATTTTTAAAAAAGAGTCCTGTGAATGTGTGCATGGTTGTGAGTGTGTGTGACCAGAAGAAAAGGAGGGAACAAAGTGTGGGGTGTGGGTGTAAAAATAAAACTCCATTTTGCTTCTGGAGGGTCTGTCCCTCATAGTCGCAGATGAGAAAGGAGCAATAACAATGGACAAGAATGTGACGGTGAAGGAGCGTGTGTCATGTGTCAAAACACCTTCCCACCTCCCCATTCCCTATTAGTTACAGTATTTGATCTATTTTGGGGGGGGGGGGGAAGGAGGCCCATTCCCAGGGTTGTTATGTGACGGAGACTCACCAGGTGCCGCAGCCTGGCTGCCTATAGCTCTCCTTTCCCGAAAGGTGTCACATTTGCATGGTTGATCCCGGAATGTCATAGCTGGGCATGAAAGAAATCCATTGTGTTAGGTAGCAACCAGGAAGACTGTTTCATTCAGACTTTCTTTTTCTTTTTAATATATATATTTTTTTATTTCAGAGAGGAAGGAAGAGGGAGAGAGAAACATCAATGATGAGAGAGAATCATTGACTGGCTGCCTCTTGCACGCCCCCTACTGGGGATCGAGCCTTCATTCCAGGCATGTGCCCTGACCAGGAATCGAACTGGTGACCTCCTGGTTCATGGGTTCACGCTCAACCACTGAGCCACGCCAGCCGGGCTCATTCAGACTTTCTTCATCACAGGACGCAGAGGGAGCCATGGAATTGGGCTCGGATGCCCCTGGTGCTCCCGTGAGTCATGAATGACTCTGCCCCTTCATGCTGTCATTTTACGTAAAACTTTGAGAAAATTTCTTGGACTTAGACAAACCTGTCATGTCAGTTATCTCACTAACCGCTTCTGTTTTAAAGAAAACGTGAACTGAATAGCTCTTTAACCAACATTCAGAGACGAAATTCTACAATGATTATATGGTTGGTATTCAAAGGCTGGGTATCACCAAGAGGCAGGCACTCCCTCCCCTTCAAGAAAACTACAGGACGTCCAACATAGTCACTGCTGTTGGGCTGTCTAAGGAGCCCTGTGTGCCCGGTGGTGCCAGGCACTGCCCCTCAGGAGGGACGGCCAGTTCACTGCCGCCTCTGCAAGAAGTCAGAGCAGGAAGGCACAGAAGGACCTGCTCTGTGTCGCCTCACGCTCTGTCTCCTTTCATTCCACCAACACAAGGAGACGCATAGTTGTAAGAACCCTGTTTTCTTTGTGACTTAAAAATGTTTGGTGCCAGATGGGTACTAGACTTACAGGGGGATCACTTCATAAGGTCTATACATGTAAACCACTATGCTGTACACCTACAACATATAATAGTGTATGTCACCTATAATTGAAAAATTAAAAATAATAATAAAGGCCAATTATCTTAATATCTCTCATTATAAAAGCCTTTATTTTAGAAAATTTGTGGAGGAAAATAATATTTTAAGTAAATAAAAATTTATTCATAATTCCAGTACCCAGAGATAACAATATTTTATGGGTGTTCCTCTAGTTTTTTAGTGCATGTATCCATGTTTTGTTTTTCTTGCTAATTTTTGGTTGTTACAAAATTAGGATCTTACTCTATGTATCTGTGTATCTTTCTTGTTGGTAACACACTATCCTCAGGCCGTCCTCACAAACAATCACAGTTTATCCTCTTCCATTCGCCCAGGAACATCCAGACCAAGGCCCAGTCTGTGTGCAACACGGGGTACTATGATCCGCGGGGGAAATGAAAGCGTTCTCAGCTCTGTTCCTGATCTAGACCTTAGATCGCTGCCACCTTAATGACCTCATGCACCCTCAAAACTTAAAACAAGGGACACCTTTTGAATGAAAACTGAAAGGACTGAGGCCAAAGTTCATTCCTAACGATTTAGTGATGGCAAAATCCAAAGGGAGGCATGCAATCAACCTTAGACAAAAGGATCAGCGAGGGGAACCACATAGAAATGTTTTTCGGGAAAGTAGCTGCAACTACCGTAGGACGTTAGGCTGGAGTCTGGAAAAAGACACACATTTTCAGTCAGATCCAAGTTTCTGTTCGGATCAGGACATGGCTTTCAATGGGCGAAGCAAACTACCCTCCCTACCTACCCTCCCTGACGTGGTGAGTCCGTCAGTGCCTCACCCCCCAGGCTGCAAACCAGGCTCAGCACAGCCAAGAGGCCGGTCCGTGTGCCAAGTTAGCGGACCAGGCTGCGGCTACCGTCCCACGGATCCCGAATTAGGGGCAGCTAAGGAGGGAAGAGGGCTTCAGAATGGGGAGCCTCTG